TCTTATCTAGAACATCAGATGGTGAATCATATTCCCGGAAATAGCATTTCGCCTCTTTCTGTGAATTAACGTAATCTTTGGTGTAAGTCGTTCTTATTGGTCAAAGAATTGTGAAAGCGGTACAAAATTCTGGCACATTTCGTATTCTTTTTATCCCACCCAAAGCTACAGATGTTTGAATTTCTTCAAGATTTTAATAATTTGCATTCTCCTTCATATTCGCATTTATTATGATCGTTATGCTTATATTTTGAGCATATGTATGAATATTTATAATATATTTGCAGTAACTGCTGAAGTATAAACTTTAAAAATGGGTAAGGGGAGTTTTAACACAGGTTAGCTTTCTAAGAAATAATATTTGGAATGGCTTAAATAAAGTGAAAGTAATCAAATAGTAATTTTTTGTTTTTGACAATGCATTATACAGTACTGAAGTTGGGGAGGTTGTACCCTTCCTCCACAAAATCTTGAATATTGAGACCGTTACAGTTCGCAACAAAACAAACAATGGACTTTTTTCTGTGACTTTCCAATCTGGATTGAATAGAAGTAAAAGTTCTGCGATATACCAACCCAAGCGAAGAACGATTCTATTCCGGAAATTTAACACAGTCTGATCAAAATTAGAATGAAAACCATCCCAGATTAGTAAGTCTTTCTTTTCCTTTATTTAGTTATTTATTCTCTGAATACCGGCAGTTGTTGATTCTGATTGCGGATTATCATGTGCGGAAGAATTAAGGTGCACATATTGTGCAATAATGTTTGCGATATATTTTGTGGAGATAAGTAATTTTGATTTTCAGTCTGAGATTTGTAAAGAGTTTTACTGTGCTTGCTAAGCAGAATATTTTTCAGATTCATTGGGCTATTTTTTATATAATGCAGATATTGAAATGTCAAAAGCATTATTTAGCCCAAAAATCTAAAGAACGACTACAATCTTCCCACCCCTTCTCTTTTTCCAGTTACGCTCGACTATCCAGAATTTACAGATATTCTACAGTTTCCGAGTATGCCGGTTACTTTAGCTTTTATTGTTAAAGGACGACTGCATTAAATAATTTCCCGTCTTCTGATTTCAGAAATGTTCTTCTTTTTTACTTATTAGTCCAAAGGGGCTTTCCCTGAAGAACCATTGTTTTAGTTTTGCAATTTTGCGTTGGTTCCCTATAGATGTCTATTTCACTTTTCAAACTGTTGCCACCAAATGTTAAAGTCCTGCATTATATTTGAAGAAATAAAATAATGAAAAATCTGCATAAATGTATGTATATTTCTTGCATTGTCATAAAACAACGGTACATATAGCCATCGAATTTTTAATGACGTAATCCTACTGCGAATATGGGCATGAAGAAGCCCAAATTAGGAATTTGTTTTATTATCGATTTCATATTTTACAAAACTGAATTTCATGGTAGTTCGAAGAACGTGATATTTAACATATAAAGGTAACAGACAAAATGTTGAAAAAACGCCCCTTTGGATGTAATTTAAAATCTTTCAGATATTTTTATTATTATTATTTAAATTACTTTGCTTCAGTATCTGTTAAAGCAAAACTGTTATACAATGAAAATTTAGAAAATGTTCAGAATTTTGATTTAAGTTAAATTATTTAAATAAGTGGTAAATTATACGAGTAGGAAAACAAATTGTATTTATTTTTAGATGCAAAGCGAAAAGAAAAATGTAATTGTTTTCCATGGTTGAGTAATGCTCATTTTCTCATAATAAATATTGAATTTCTCATATTTTAAATTACAAGTCTAATTTTTCTTTTAAGGTTATGCAGTTGTGTATCATGTAATTAGACAGGTGCTTATTCTTTTTCTTAAAGTGTGCTTGAAAAGTGCTTATAGGTCCGTTTTACTTCCTTGAACGAAGTAAAAAGGAAGTATTGCAATCATGAAAAGTTTCAAGCAGAATATTTCAACGAAAACATTAATTTTGACCACTATTGAATGCAATTTAATGATTTTTTTGCGTGACATCTGTAAGGACAGAATAAAAGACTCTCTTCCTCCAAAAAAATTATAAAACTGCTTTAAAATCAATTCTGAAAAGAGTTTTCCGTTTTGTCTGTACGTAGGTACGTATCTCGCATAACTCAAAAAGGAGTAGCCTCAGAACGTTGAAATTTTGTGTATAGGACTGCTATAACTTGTAGATGCGCACCTTGTATTTTGGTTGCAATTGGCTGCATCCACTCTGTTTTCCCAGCTCAGTTTCTCAGTGATCTCAGTTTCTTTACTTCTTATATGTTTGTAAATTTTGCATTTTTTGTTTTAAAAATTATTGAATTATGCTGTTCTTATCTTCCGGTTAAAGTTTTTATGCCTTTAGTAAATCTGTATTCAATATTTGTAGAATTATCAACAATTTAAAAGCTGTTTAAGTGCTGTTAATCCTAATTTTTAAATAAGATGGCTGATATGTTTGTTTACATTTGAAACAGCAGAATAGTAGATTTGTTGTCAATCTAGAGAGACTAAACTTTGCAGCAACAAAGATAATGCCTTCATTTATATCGAATTAAATCATGCTTAATCCTTTCTGGAATTTTTTTGAGGAAATAAGTGTTTAAGATATACTTCGTAATTTTTAATATGGATATTTTGAGTTTTTATGTATTTTTGCCTTGTCGCAAGTTGAGAACTGAATTAATTGAATGAGAAATACTGAATCATCTGTGAAAACTGCTTAATTTGTTTTATACATCGTTCTGGATTTTTTATAGTATTTGAACAGAACAAAAGACAACGATTAGATAATTCTTCAAATGATTTAAATTCTCTGCATTCTGAGTTATAATATGAAAAAAATATAACGCTGTTAAGTGAACCTAGCGCCAGAGTATTGCTGTGGTAAACAAATAGAGTGAATTTTAAAGAATGCACGTATTCTATTTTGGTTTATGCGCTGTCGGCGAAGTAGATATAATTAAATCCAATAAGTTAAAAACAAAATGCAAGAAAAAATGCATATAATTTAATATTCCTTACAAGGAAGTCATGTGGTGTACACATCAGATTTTTTTCAACCTTTTTTACTTCCTTGTACGAAGTAAAAAGGAAGTGTTGTAATCGCGAAAAGTTTCAGGCTGCATATTTCAACGAAAATATCCATTTTGACCGCTATCGAATACAATTTAACGATGTTTTTGCATGATATCTGTACATAAGGACAGAATAAAATACTCTTTTCCTTCAAAAAAAAAAAAATTATAAAACTGCTTTAAAATTAATTCTGAAGAGAATTTTTCGTGGCATCTGTACGAACGTGCGTACGTACGTATCTCGCATAATTCAAAATCGAGTAGCCTCAGAACGTTTAAATTTTGTATATAGGACTGCTATAACATGTAGATGTGCACCTCGTATTTTGGTTGCAATCGGCCGCACCAAATGTATATAAATATATTTAGATATACTCTATCCACTCTGTTACCCGGCTCAGTGATCTCAGTTTCTTTACTCTTATATGTTTGTAAATTGTAAATTTTTTGCTTTAAAAATGATTGAATTATGTTGTTTTTATCTTCCAGTTAAGGATTTTATGCCTTTAGTAAATCTGTGTGCAATATTTTTAGAATTATCAGCAATTTTAAAGTTGTTTAATTGCCGCTAAGCCTTTTTTAATGGCAGCCATTGATGTTTACATTTGAAACAGGAGACTAGTGGATTTGTTGCCAATCTAGAGAAATTTAGCTTCGCAACAACAAAGATAACGCATTCATGTATTATTGCCCATTAAATCATGCTTAATTCTTTCTGGAATTTTTTCGAGAAAATAAGTGTTGAGATTTACTTCGTAATTTTTAATATAGATGTTTTGAGTTTTTATGTATTTTTGCCTTCTCACGAAGTGAGAACTGAATTAATTAAATGAGAAATACTCAATCGTCTGTGAAAAACTTTTTTTTTTTTTTTTTTTGCTTAATTTCTTTTATACATCAGTCTAGCTTTATTATAGTATTTGAATAGAATATGTAGCAACGATTAGATAATTGTGTTCTTTAAATGATATAAATTTTGTGCATTATGAGTTATAATGTGAACGAAATATAATACTGAATGGCAGTCATCAGTTCTGCGCAACACAAAAAGTGAGAATTTTAGCTGATTTTCGAGTTTTAATAAGCCAAATTGTTTTTATCGTACATATATGAAATTTTCAGTGTGTCATCTTTATACATAGATCTTTCTTGATTTATTTTCCTTAATAGCTTATAAGAATTTGTTTTATAAAGAAAAAACTAACTGTATTTTCCGAAAATTTAAAATTTGTAATGGAGCAGTGCGCGCAAACTAACAGTAATACAAATTTAGTTACAGTAATAATTTTTAAGTGAATCTAGCGCCAGAGCTTCGCTATGGTAATCAAATACTAGAGTGAATTTTAAAGAATGCATTTATTCTATTGTGGTTTATGCACTTTCAGTGAAGTAGATTTAATTCAATCCAATAAGTTTAAATGAAATGCAAGAAAAATGTGTATAATTTAATATTGCGTACAAGGAAGTCGTGGTGTACACATAAGTTTTTTTTTTTTTTAAACTAAAATGTGGCTACTAACCCAATTACATGTCAGTGCTCTACCATGCAAAGCTCAAATTTTTCCAGATTGCAACTTATTGAATGCCTCCCTTCAGTGAAGGATTTAAGTAACTGAACTGATTTGGGGATTGTCTGAATATTAATTAAATAGAACCGGTAAGGTGGAATTTCCCCAAATAATACTGCAATATGTTTACACTGATTGTTGTAAAATTTGTAGTGTATTTTAACAACTTTAATTCAATAAATATTGATTAATGATGGAGATTTTACACGTTACTTTTTTACATCAAGAGATATTTTAATGGATTGGAGTGTATATAATTTTATGAAAAAAATTCTTAATACCTCATCTTTTAATGTGGATTTTGTATAATTGCATTTTGGATTTGTTTGTTGTGCATATTCTTAATTCAGTTTTCCCTCTATAACTAGCCAATAAAAGGTGCACCTGCAAAGAAAAGGCAGTACAAAAGAAAAAAACCTGAAGCTAATACATCCAAGTCTATTATACCTAATAATCATGGTCTGGAACTTGGATTGGGTGACTTAGCAAGCTCTGAAGAAGATGGTCTTTCACCGGTATTCTTTCAATTTTTTAAAGATTTCCAGCTTTTTCTAAATTTTGTAGTGGTGGTTATGAAAACCTCAAGGCTAAAACTATTTTCCAAATATTTGTCTGAAAGAAAAAAAAAGAGAGAGTTTTATAATTTTAACAGACTCCCCTTTTTTAAAAGCTTATTGGTGATGGTTGTCTTGAAAGTACCATTTTAAGTGCCAACCCAAAATTTTTGCATCAATTCTTGAAACTTTATTCCATTTAGATATCTTTATTATAAAAAAACTGGAGTATGATTATCCATATAAATGAACCAGTGGCCGCTCTCAAATACTTTTACAAGCTTTGAGAAGTTGTATAAGCATATTGTTGGGTAATCTGTGTCTTTTGTGAATGTATTTATTTAACATATCTTTCTAAATTAATGGGCGTAGGTGTGATAAACATATTACCTGTAAGAAAAGAAAAAATTTTTTTTTCATTCTCTTAATCATATAAGATCAATAAAAATTACCTAAGCCTACCTTAATCCTTTCAGGCCAACTGTTACGCATATGTGCTAGCAAGAAATGTTTTTTACTGTTTTACATTTACCTCTTGGCATGCCAAAGTATTTTCTTGTCCACCCCCAGCTTTCAAGCATTTGTGGCAGTGTTCTGGAATAATTTAAAAATCCACTAGATGACATCGTAGGTCCATTACTTATTGAACCAAATATAGGTTTAGGATCCCTGATCTTCAATGTCTCTGATCCCCCTCTAAAGTTAGGCTTAGCGACGCAATACCCATCCTAGGGGATGATTCCTATTGACTGCCATCCGCCCTGAAGGAAAGTTCTTAAACAAAGGCATGCCATCCTGAAAAAATTAATTTTTTACAGCTGCTGTGTGAACATTAATAATGTTAAATATTTTAATGTAATTTGAACCACTTGAGTTCTCGTTTGTTGACTCTTGTTTTTTATTCATTTAAACATTATTATCTGACAAAGTGTAATTTACTTTTATGGATATTTATAGATAAAGTCTTCGATGGCCTTTATTTTCACAACCATTGATCAGAGACATATATTTCCAATTACAAAAGTTCCTAAGTCAGAAGTGTATATTATGACATTTTGAAATTAAAAAAATCAGTTTTGTTAAAATTACTGAATTTTTACTTTTTTCCCCGGTTGCTAGGTGCATAGCATTATAATCAGTTAAACAGTTTGCTAATTCTTTCTTTTTATTTATTCCATTAGTGCCAAAAATTCAGAAATTGAAATTGATCAAAAAAAGGTTTTTGGTATTCATAGATTAATTTTTTTTTAAAGGTTAGAAAAAGATTTTATCTATAGAATTTTATAAGGTTCTAGATGAAAAAAATTATGTCTGTGTTAAATCAGACGTAATTAGTAGAATAATAATAAACAGATATAGTTTTTCTCTGCAACATTTATTCACGAACACCTGAGGTGAATTACTACATATGCACAAAAGTGAGGTCTCAGTTTCTTTTAGAAATGAGCACTACCACCATCTCTTAGCAAGCTAAGATTACATAATCACAAACATATTTAACATTCCCCTCCTCCATGCATCCCTAAATGGATCCATCAGTTTTAGTGAACTTTAAGATCATAGTCTTTCAGTTGCTCTTATGCAACTGACCCAAAAGCATCATTATCCAACTGAATTGCATCTTATTTTACCATCTTATCGAGGAAATATTTTTTAACCTTAACTTTTAAGTACAGCATTTCATATTATCTTCTCATACAAACATCATTAATCTTAAACAGAAGAAGGTTTTTGAAAACAAAACTGATATTAGTTCTAGCAAATGTTCTTTTAGAAAACCTTTTCCAAAAATGCTGTGATAGTAACTACCTATGTTTCCATCTTTTAATCAACTGAGTACCACATTTTAAATACAAAAGGTCCAGAAAAATCTTACCTCAAATTTTTGAGCTTTCTGCACTCAATCAGCAGGAAGAAGAGCAGATATCTCATGTCCAGCTCTAGCATATGTTTTACAAAATCTGCAGTCATATAACACAGGTTTTATAAACTGTCAAGCTTTTCAAATCCGAAATTTCTCTTACTTTACTTTACTAAGTCTTTACTAAGTTTCATTTACACCACTGTGAAATACTTTTTCGTGATAGTTATTATTTATATCTAATGAGAATTTAATAGTCTACTTCTAGCTCTTAAACAACTCATTTCATCATTTATTTGATTTATTCCAAACAATTTGGAATTTTGATACACTAGTTCTTTTTACATTTGACATCGTTCAGTTCTATTAAAAAGTACTGACTTTGATAACTTAACCCTTTCGGTTCTAATGGGCAGATACGTCCCAGATATTAGATTTCATGCCCTATTTAGGTAAATAAAACCCACTTTTAAATGGATTTTTACATTTGCAGTGTTTTTAAGGTATTAGGGAACAAATATATGACTAAAGAAACCTGGCAATACTTTTCGATTACAGATGGGGCACTTATGTTTTTAAGCACGCTGGTTATGCAAGTTTTGATTTTTTTTTTAATTTTGCGCTAAGTACAATTATATTTAAGGCTACTTAGTATGAAATTCTTATTAAGTAGTAATTAAACATTTTTAATGTCAGGTTTAAGAAATTTTGAATAAATTCTTTTTGTGAGATATAGTGTCTCAATCATATTTAACAGTGGATTAATGTGTCCCATTAGTGATCAAATTACTACATGCTGAAATATTATGCTTGTGATTATGAAACATATATGAAAATTTTTGTTATATATGAGCTTGGGCATGTGACAGAGTTTATGTTTTGTAATATTCACGTTATATAATACCGCAAATTTTAGTTTTGTTTTCTGAGAAAGGATAATATCCTAGACCAGAGGCTCTTAAACTTTTTTTTTTTACTCGTGCCCCCTTTTTATCACAGATTTTTTTATGACCCCTGGACCCCATAATATTTACAAAAATTTTGTGGAAGCCCATAAACATTGTGCAAATCACACGTGTGAGTGAAACTGTCAATTTTTTCACTTGTACTGTAATATACTATTGCAGTTTTAGGTCGTTAACTTTATTTCTAATTTTAAGACATAGAATAGTGTGAAAATTTTAAATAAGTAACAGACAAAATGGCAGCGTTACTTGCAAAGCAAGTAAAATGAACGTATCTAAAATATTTTGTAATATAAAATTATTATAATAAGTTAACGAAATTTCAAAACTGCTAAAATTTTTGGTGACCCCGTTTGCATGGAGGTTGCGACCCACAGTTTAAGAAACTGTCCTAGACTATTGGGACAAATAGTCCCAGTTGACAACATGATTGGGACATATTGTTCCAGGAAACGTATTGACATTTCCAGGAAACGAGAAAAGTTAAAAACTCTTATTACGCTTCTTTTAATATATCAACATTAAACTACTTTAGTTAAATTTTAATCAGAAATGCAAAAGTCGGTCAAAAGGGTTAATCCAGTAACACATAGCAGGACAAATTTTATTTTTGGTCGTAGGAGCAATCACCCTATTTTATGAACTTTAAATTGTTTATGAGTCTATATGTGATGTTACTTTTAAAAGTTTAAGTCACCAAAGTTCAGTATCTTAAAACAGGTTGTAAAGGTTGAACATTGCTGGTAACTTGAGTCATAATTATTGTCTTCTACAGTACCCACTACTTTGCAATGTTCATTCATTTTAGGCCAATTTACTTCATCTTAATATAGCTATGGGGATCCGTGCTATCACGTCAGATCTACTGCAAGCTCACTCATTGTAATACCGTGCATGAATTTGTCGGCACATATCTGATCGAGAGCAATGATATCACATACTCCGTGAGGTTTTCTCTTAAATTTCTGGTGTATGATTTTGTGCAATAGTTGTCTGTTGTTTGGTGATTTCTTTATCCAATGAAGCCCAAGGGGAGAATCGGTCCAAAAATAAATATTTGCTCGAGGAAACTATGCATGGACTGTAGTTACTAGTCATTCTGCTAACACTGCTACCATGAGTTTTAGTAAAGATATATTTTAGGGGAGCCACTCTGGTTTTGTTTATAATAAGTTGATAAACATGATAAGTTCATGAAAAATACTTAAGGCTATGGAATTTTCCATACATTTCTGCTCCATAGGCACTTAAAATGAATCACAAAAACAATCTAGTTCCAACACTTCAGGCATTTCATTAACATTGGAGGTATAATTTCATTCCAGTCGAATGGCTTTAAGCCTTAAATCTTGAAATAGAACTTTTGAGTCGGATATGAAGCAGGAAAGCCAACAGGATTGAAGATCTTCGAAACTGCTTTCAAAACCTAATGTTTTGTTTGTTCATTTGGCGGGATGATGATAACGTTTTGAGCATTAAATCAGCTGTATCCTTATGAATGTCCCATTGAAGGCGAATCAGAATCGGATAATTTAAAAAGTATCCGAATTAGAATTCTGTTTAGTCATGGTCATTGATGATGTTTTCTTTGTAATATTAACTGGATGATGTATCTGTACAGCCTCCTCCACTGTATCTGATCCACAAATAAAGTTATCGACATATATGAAGTTTTACTTTTCTACATGTCTGGGATAAATGTTTTCAAAATTTCTTTAAATGATGCTTAATATAAGTGCTGAGGAAAAATAGGTTTAATTTTGTTCCAGAAATTATGCAACCCATCTGATAAACTTGAATTTGTATATTAATCAAATTTGAATTCTCGTCAATCCATAAAAATTGCATGGCATCCCAATCTTCATAAGCATCGGAAATTCGCAAACAGGCCTTCTGAATGTCTGATGTAAATGCAATTCCATGAAGTTAGAAATTTATTAACACCTTCAAAAATTCAGGAAGAAGATTTGGTCTGTGAAGTAAATTATTTAGAGATTCTCGATTCTTTTCCTTTGAAAAAGTATCATAAACAATGTGAAATTTTGTCAAATTGTATTCTTCACAGATGACACTTCATCATATGTAATTGGCAAATTTTTGTGTTTTTCAAGTGGTACCATAATTAATTTATCCTTAGCAACAGCCTGTCTGCACTATGTGGATGCCTGGAATTTTCTTGAAACGTGCCTGGAAAAGTCAGGGAATGTCATTGTCCTCTTTGAGTGGCAATCCTGCAATAATTAAACTGAACATGTATGTGAATAACCTGCGAATGTTTATGGTATTTGCTTTGTGGTTTCAGGGTGCGAGCACTGTGTCACTTTGCTCTGGAGCAGCGATTCTCAATAGGTAATACGCAAGAGTAAAATAGGTGGTATGCAAAGAAACGAAGTATTTTTAACTATTAAATTAAAAATTTTTATGAAAAAAATGAACACTTGATAGCAATTTCCTGTGATCAAACTCTAAATGAAGATTTAAAAAATAAGACTTTATAACATCTGTCTGAACTGAAAAAAAGATTTTAAAGGCACTTCAAAGAAAGCTATTAAATTTTTAACACCCTTTTTGCAAAAACTATTTTTGTGAAAAGGATTTTCTTCCATGTTATATTTGAAAAATAAATACAGAAGAAAATTAAAAGGGGTTCCTAATTTACAGTTAAAACGAAGTGAAATAAGAACAGATATATAGAAATTGATCTTTCTTAAATAGGCTGAAATTTCTCACTAAATTGTAGAATTAAAGTATGATAACTAAAATTGTAACCAATTTTCGGTCTAATATTTTTTATGTGTGCATATTTAATGCGAATAGGTTGTGCAAATGGCAAAATATTGTTTAACATTTTTATTGAGAAATTAAAAAATAATCATTGTAAAATGTAATGGTAATACTAAGATTTTTCATTTTTGTTCAGATGGTACACGTTAGTCAAAAAGTGAGAATCGCTGCTCTAGAGGCTCAGTGGTCGTGCCTTGAAAATAATGCTCTTCACAATGGCATTTGCTGCTTTCAAATAGGAGTGTTTATTTTTACCCAGATATAAATAAGTGGTTCTGAAACCTCAGAGTTATTTTATTACTAAACAAAACATGCACCTGCCCAGTGAAAATGTCTTTCATTTCCAGAGATTTTCCTCTGAGCTCAATATGATTGCCTGCTAAGCTAGTATTGTGATTTTATAAATTATTTTGTGTGATTTAAATGTAATGTAAATATATTTTGTATAATTAAAACTAGAAATCATGTAAAAGTATAATGTAAATTTAAAGTATTTTATAAATAATTTGGGATGAAATCTAAATAAAATAAATATGAGTGGAAAACGAAGGATCCATATGGAAGACAGAGCTTAAGCCCCCCCCCCTTTCCCCCTCCAATTAACATAAAAAACTACTTCACATGTCATATGAACTTTCGCTGTTTCATTTTGATGTATCACAGTTCTAGAACATTCCAAATTCTTTTTAAAAAATCATTGCATTCTTTTCTTCCTTGTCATTACAGTTCTATCTCCTCCGAAGTTGCTTTCACTTAGATTTCTAAGTTTAAGTTCTTCAGATCATTGATTTTCTCAATTAATTGTTCATATAAACAGATGATTTCAATTTTTTGATTTTGCTGAATATAATTTGCTACATTCACTTCAGTATTACTTAACTGCCTTAGAAAGATCATTTCCTTTTCAGATTTCTCAAGTATGTTCTCCATTTTCAAAATGTTCACTCTGTCGATTATTCCAATTTATAATAAACAAAGTGTTTTGCAATGCAACATTAATTCACAAACTACTGCACGTATACAAAAATGATGTTACAGTTTCTTTTACAAATAAACTACTACCAAGCTTAGAATAATACAATAATCAAAAACTTATATAATAAAAAACCCAGAGTGTTCCATTATCTTCTTTAAAATCGTCTTCCACTCGGCTGTCTGTTTTGGCTATTGTTTTCCTGTTGATAATTTGAATAATATCAACAGGTTACACTAAATATGTAACATTTTTTTCGGGGGGGTAGAGGTATGATTATTCTTTTATGATTGTGAGTAATAAAACTGTATTTGATATTAACAGGGTTGCCACGCTACCTGGAAAACCGGGAAAAGTCAGGGAATTCGAAAATTGACCAAAAAATTCAGGGAAAAGTCAGGGAAGTTCATACAATGATCCCGCAAAAGAAAAGAAAAGATTTTTGCGCCAACGTCGGAAGAGATAACTTTTTTTGGCGAATTGTGTATCACGTGAGTGTCTGCTGGCATAGAGCCAATTTTCGCAGCTCCAATTTGATTGCCTTTTAGAAAGGCAAAGCAAGTTTCCCGCAACTTTTGGTTTCCAGTATTCTCGAGAATCGCATGTGCAGTGCATGAACTAAAGAAAGTACCTGTTCTCGTATAAAACAAAATGGGTTTAATCTTAGTATACGGTACCATGGAGGTTAGAATCAAAGAATATGTATTGTAAAGAAGGAAAACCTCTCTGCAACAGACATGGCTCCGTTCCATCATAGAGGGAAACAGCTGTGCATGCGTGATATATCTGCCGCCAAAGCTGGAAACCGGTGTCGAAGTTCGAAGGTCACGTTGTCAAGAGTTCATTAAATGAATATCCTTTAAAATTTCTTTAACCACTTGCGCTAAAAAGACGTGCCACGCACGTCGAGATGTTTTTGTCTCAAACTGCGAACGATAAGCATTTATCGCAAAAATGAAAATAACATGGTGCACACGTCGCCTAACAACGAGATTGTTTATTTCTCGAGTTACAGCTCTGGATTGCACTCGCAGATGCGGAGCGGCGTAAATGAGACACTTTACCACTTGCTATATTGTAGCGCACGGCACCGCAAACGTGAAGTTTAGTCTTAGCGCAAGTAGTTAAACTCTAAATTAAAAGAAAATATTTTTTGGCGCAAGTAAATTAATTCCATAGGATTAGTTAATTTTCAGGGGGGGAAAAAAACTAAAAATCCGTTTTTTAAAATTATTGCGAAAAATCCAAGAAGAAACGTCCTTTGATAAAACGTTTCTTCTTGGATTTTTCGCAATAATTTAAAAACGGATTTTCGTAGCTTTCTTTTTGTCAAAGAACATTTCTTCTTAACACGTTTCTCAATTTCAGGTACACATCGCGGAGAGGGAAATTCTGGTCGCCAGGTTCCGTCGCCAAATCCCTTGGCAAATTTTCCCTCCGCAGTCTAGCGGCGTAATAGCATTTTACTTGTATGGAAAATTTTCTTCTTTACATAGACCAAAGAATTAGAGATTCTTTGCATAGACGTTTTTTGGTTAAAATAATTTCCATGTAAGGATTTGGCGACATGATGATGCGCAGTAAACGGGTCATTTTGGTCTTGGCGACAATTTTCAAAATCCAAAGCCTAGTATTTTTAGTAGTGCCAAAGCCTTACCGTATACTAGAATTTTACCGCAAAATCTTTTTAAACTTTTCTTTTTAATAAATACCTTGCCATTTTGCAGTAAAATAAAAAATAGTAATCTGTCATCTAGGCTAACCATGTAATATAACTATATTCGCTAAAATATCGTTGATTATTCTAATTCAATTTTTAAGTAATTATCTTTTTTTTATGTTATTCGTATAATTTAATGATGCTTCTTCCCTCTAAATTTATTATTATTAGTAAATAATATTTTCAAATTTCAGGAAATTTTCTCTGGCATAATCCTGAAATTAATTCTAGCAGTATGATGACATACCATCACGAAATTTAATGCACATATTTTTTTTCCTTATGTATGCTGCGAAACTAAATATAAAATACCTCAATTTATTAAAATAGATTTCTTTTGTTTCGTTTAGCTGCAGAATGTCTGCAAAAAAAAAGCCTTATTTTATTCCAGATTGGGAAGATTCTAATCTCAATCTTCAATGGAGAAAACAACAACTATTATAATTATATTTGTGTTTTCAAGTGTTAAGGTGCTTTTAAGAACATACCTCACACAAATTAAATTTACCTAAAATCTAACCTAACTATTTAGCATTGCGTTGTGATTTATAAGGACCGGATTAGCCTCGTGTTGAACTGGTGATGATCATGAGTAATAATTAAATAAAACATACATTTGTTATCCAATGTATATATCTTAAATTTTATTAAGTTTCTTAAGTGGAAAACTAAACAAAATTATCAAACAAAGTATACCAAGAATAATTAAGAATAAATGTCCTCTGGGATTTATTGAATAATTAAGTGAATTTGCTACACAATACAAGTAATACCATAATTTACCTCTTAGCGTAGCCAACGTACATTACGCGGATAGACTGGAATTTTCTTGAAATGCACCTGGAAAACCTGGAAAAGTCAGGGAATTTCATTCTCCTGTTTGAGTGGCAACCCTGTATTAATGAATTTTTAGTATTTGAAAACTTATAATTAAATGTTTTTGGCATGCTAAATATGACAAAATTATAAATTGAAGATTATACCCTTGTAAATTACAGAAAATACCTAAGAATGGCATTAAAATGGGGAAAAAATCTACCTCAAATTATTCTAATTTATTTTTTTTTAACTGACAGTGAAAGAAAGCCAAAGAAGAATACAGAAACCCCAGTCAGATTTCATAATTTTTATGAAATTCATTTTTTGAATAAAAATTTCTGTATTCTGAATATATGCATAGATTAAAATATTTTTGTAAAGAAGTGCATGTACATGACTAATAGCTACAAAAATAAGAGCTTCATAAGGGCTTTATGTATATGATATGTAACATTTTTATTATAAATGTATATTAAAAATGCTTTATTTTACTCTTTTAACTGATTCTTAAATTGGTTTGTTAGGGATACAAATGAGCTGACTGTTTAGTTATTGTATTATAAAATGTCATGGTAACAAAATTAATTTAGAATTTTATTCTATTTTTTTAGGTCCATTCAGATCAGGATGATGATAATAATGATCCTGATGGACCCTATGCTTTCAAGCGAAAGAAGAATTGCAATTATCATGAAGTGAGTTGATGAATACTTTTTTATGTATGGGGTACATAATTTGTGTTAATTAAATAGAAAAAGTTCCAAATTTTTTATTTTAAGGTGTTAAAGCCATTTAAATATCAACTCTTCTTTTTTTTAAAAAAAATTAGACTATACTGATAATGGTGTTAGTCATTATTTCTCGATTTATGTTTGTTATATGTAGGTGTATTTATTACATTCATATATGTATTGCATGCACTAACAGTATTGTATTTAGCATGATGACTTTTTTTTAACTTTACTAATTTTATTTCAAGAGGGTTGATAAATTAACTTCCATCCTTGTCTAAAATTATAGAAAGTGTAATCTGAATGAATTAAAATATTTTCCTGTGATACAATATATAAGCTTTTAATGCATCCAAGTAGCAGTTTATAGTGTGAAAGTTTGAAGTTTTAATTATTTGAAGAAACATAATGCAAATATTATTGGATACTGCTGATTGGATTATGATTAAGCATGTGGCTTAAGTGAAACTTATGGCCAAAATGCATTAACAGAATTAAAAAGGGTAAATGTCTGATGAACATTACATAGTAAGAAGTGTTGTTCATAAATTGATATTATTTTGCTTTTGTGCCTCAAGATTTTTTTTCCCTGCTTGCATCTTGTGTTTCTGAATGTGCTGTCTTTTAAGTGTATTGTTCTCATTGCTTTATTTGTTTAAGAAAAATAGGGTTAAAATTCCATAATTGGGATGAGCGCCAAGCTTGGTGAGAGTTTTTATTTGGCGCAATTTTGATTTGACCTAGAGCTTTATTTCGGTAACTTGTAAGAGTGCAAATTTAGTGTAGCCACAAGATTTTTTTTTATTTAATTTTGAAATACTGTGTTTGTTTTTAAAAGTTTTAGTGTTTAATATTATTATTATGTATATGTTTAATATTATATTTATACAGTACAAAGTCCGAAATCCGGACGTCCATTATCCGGAATGATGTAAAATCCAGACCTTAAAGCCACAAACATTTGGGGGTATGCATTTTATGCATGCACATTTTTTTTCCCCTTTCATAATAAAACGTGTGGAGATTTTCACTTAGAAATGTCGATTCTTAATTTTACTTAGGCACTAAATAAAATACCTCGTTATGGAAAAACAAAGTATCTACTTATCATACATCTCAAACCGAAACATTATCATACATCTCACCTATTTTATATCCCTGACGCCTGGCGTGCTTTCATCACCGCATTTATCAATACATGACAGCGTCAGTAATAACTCATGCTGTGATGTCTAAACTTTTTTATATTAATAATTCAATAAATAACAAGAGTATGACAACCTTTTATGCTAACATTGTTTACCGTTTTAATAATTGGTAGAATTCAGTTACTGTATCATGACAATTTTATAAACAATTTATTGTACTTATTCCTATATCTGGTAGAAAATACATTGTGACCTCACAAGCTTAGTCCCACCCATTTATAGATGTCACTTCAGATTTAGTAGTAAAGACAGGACTTTGTTTTTATTTAGAAAGTTGATGCACATTACAATGCTTTGTTTTTATTTAGAAAGCTGATGCATGTTGTTTTTTCATTTAATCAATTGCATTTACTATTGTGTTTGTGCATAATAATCGCTGTTCACCACTGTAAACAAATATTTGTCATTTAAAACTCACTTCGCAGTGCTCTAATCTGATAAGTGTATATATTTATTTACTCAATAATTATTTACAAGAATTATTCATTCTACTATTTTATGATGAATTACATTGATAGGACTATGTTTTTACTCGCAAAACTAATCTAGTATTTTATCATCTCATTTTACTGTTCTATTTACATCAAATAACGGCATTTCACTACTGCAAAATGTAAAAGTTGCTATTCTGTTTACGTTTAAAAATCACATTCTAGTGCTGTCATTGCTGCCAATGAAAAATTCGCCAAATTTTGAAGGCCAAAATAGTTTGGCACCAACTTACCCCGCTTATGGAATTTTAGCCCCAAATAGTATTTCATAGCTGTCAACTCTCCTTTTTAACATATCTTGTGGTCTCCTGATAGATTATTGAATCACCCAGTTTTTGATTTTTTAGTTTTTGCTAAAAACAATTACTAAAAAATATTTCCCTGGAACAAGAGAAATTTATTGAATGAATGAAATTTAAACTGTACAAATTGCTTTCTTTGACCCCTAGTAAATTTCAGGATGATTTTTCTTATTAAGTTTTGTTTCATCTGAATTGTATTATTATTTTTTCCCGCAATATAACATTATTTTCATTAGTATGCATTATCATAAACCACTGTAAGCATTTGTAGAACTTTATATTAAGAATCAAGTAATGTTTGACTGTAATTTATTTTTACTTCCTTATATGCTTCATTATAAAATTTATCCATTCAAGTACATTAATTATTGGCTTTATTTTCATCATTTTGAAAGTATTCTGATAAATAAAAGCTTTCTTTCCCTGCTTGATAATTTCTCAGTATCAAAGTGTAAGAGTATTAAAAATTGAAATTACCCAAAGAACATAAAATTTAGATTATCTAGTTGAATGTTAATGTATTTTACAATTAGAATCATATTGTTAGTGGTTCAATAACTTGAACCATGCATAGTAAAGTGAATTTAAATACATTTGTGTTTCCTTTGGAATAGTATTGCCAGAAATCTCAACCTAGATAAAACAAGGATGCCATAAAATTATAATATTCTTAAATATTTATAAGAATAAGGTAATTGTTTCTGGGGGTGGTTAAATGAAAACCATGGGAGTGCAAATTATTTCACATTTAAAAAAATTAACGAAGATTGCCATACTATTACAGAAATATGAACAAAGTAATTTCAGCATCATCTAAAAAAGTGACTCATAGCATATTTTGAATTAAAAGAAATATTTTAAAAAATTTTTTCTTTCTTAATTTCAGAAAAAGTTGGCATTAATTTTTAATGCATTTTTAGGCAGTATTCAGTTTCACTTGTCAAAAATTTCAAATTATTGTGGTTTAATAAATTTGATGCTCTTCCAAATAATATGTCCATTCTAACACTTCTTTTATGTATTTCAGCCTCGTCTAGATGGTTTGGGTAATTGGCCATGGTGCAGTGCAGAAGAGGGTGGCTCAGAAGACAAAAGGTACAGGTTTTGCCTGACGTCCATACCTGACCTTGAAAATAGGCCTAGGTGTATAGGATTTGCTAGACGGCGCATTGGGAGAGGTGGAAGGTATGTTTAAATAAGTTGCATATGTTTTTTTTTTTTCTTTTCTTTTCTTTTTTTTTTTTTTTTTCTGACGAGAAATGTAATAAATTATTTTTATAAGGTTACTGAATATCACTGTTCAGTATGTGTTCTTGTAAGGAAAAGCAAGAAAATTCATTTATTGTCATCTAAGTAATGTGTTCAATGTTTATTATTATAAACATTTGATTTTCAGCCCAAGAATAGGAATTAATGCTTGCAAATATGTTCATAAATGTGCATAATGAATTACCATTAAACCATAACACAGAAATTATCATCAGTGCGAATTTAATTTGCATTTTAATTATTTTTCAGTTTAGTGTGCCATTTGGCAGCTCTGAAATATAGGCTTGAGTTTAATCTTTGGAGTGTTGTATATTTAAATGTTAAATAGTGTTTCTTCTGAAATTAGAAAACAGAGATAAGTCAAATGTGATGTCTGAAGGTTTTGCTGGCATTTAAAAAGCTCCTCTGTGGAGTGGTAAGCAAGTGGCTGAATAATTTTGGGTAGGATAGTTTTACTATTCCCTTTGCAATGTCCTTAATTATTCATAGCAGGTACACTGTGCCAAAAAAAAGGGTGCCAGTTATATGTCTCCCACTCTACTGGGCCGATTGGCAAAATTCAAATTGTGTTTTTTTGTCTCGAAAGCCCAACTTCTGATATATATTACATTTATATATAGCATTGTTTTAATATAGGTATTTTGATACAAAATCGGACTTTTTCTGAAATGACATGCCTGTGTTTTCCCATATTTTGATTCTGCGGCTCATATTATGGCTAAATACTAAACTTCTGTAAAATTTGGTGTGAAATTTATAGAGAAATTCAAAGGTTTGACTTATATTTTTTTCAGTTTGCGCGACTTGGCAAATTTCTTAATTTATAGCAACCTATTTTCCTTTCCTTTTTTTTCATTGCAGACGAGCAGGGGGTTGTTCGTACGAATAAGTCATTGTTCGTACTTTCAGATAATTTTAACAAAGTGTATGGGCCAGTATCTAAATTCACGCAATATCTTCGGAAGTTTTGAATAAAAAAACACTAGTCTTTTGTAGGTATGCTTAGAAATACATCTACTTTAAGATGATGATAAAATTTTATAGTTTATAATTCAATTTTTTTTGAAAAATTTATAAAAGTTCTTTTAAAATTATATTTTTTAATAATCATAAATATGGACAAGTTTTATTTGGAATGAATCTAAATTTCGAAGTGTGAAAGGAAGAAGTGCTTAAACCACATTTGGCATTATTATCACTTATAACAAAAATGCCAAATTTTAAAACATTCCAATAGGCAAATTCATGTATATCTTAGAAAATTTTGAATTAAAAACTCTTATTTTTTTCCAGTTTGCCTAGAAATACATCTTCAGAAAAAAATTTGCAAATTTTATTTGAAATGAACCTAAATTTCGAAATGTGAAGAAAGAATGAATTTTATTTGAAATGAAGCTCAATTTTGAAATGTGAAGAGAGTCAAGTTTAATAAAAATAAAAAAAAGAGATATTAACAAATATCAGGTGTGTTTGTGCTCCGGGAAAACCCCGGAATTCCGATGATTTTGAACTTCGATACCCGGAAATTCCGGGGATCGTTGTTCAAAAGGAAGTACGAATAATAATGAATTATTTATTTTGATCTGGGTATCGTAATTTCCGGAAGAAAGGCCGCATCAGCGTAAACGCCGCAATAGATTAAATTGCGCGTAACATCGTTGTGGGCCGTATAGATGCAAAAACTCAACCTATCTTCATTATCTGAATTAAAAAGATTTAGTAAATCCTGATCTAAGTCTTCCAGATCGTCACATTCATCCTCTTGGTTTACAGTCTGTTTATCTAAGGATATAATTTCAGCTTCTTTGAACCCTGCTATTATTGACGATGTTTTTCTACCGATTTCCACGCACTTCCTGCCCACTTTTGCAATTTCTTCAAAAGATGCTTATACGCATTTTACCCGCTTTTGGTTTAGTATGCAATCCTTCACTCACCCTCACTCCCACAGCTTTGAAGGATTTATTACCTGACAAATCTAATGGTTGTAAGAATTTTTGTCAAAACACCAGGAATTATTGCTTCAGTCGTAGACAATTTTCGACTCTGGTTTTCACTGACTCAAAGAAATGATACGCATGGAATCCATTATCAATAACCCCTTTGGTTGAAAAAGATCATACCCATAGGACACTGCCAAACTTTTGAAGCCACTCATGCATGATTGTTTAGCACACTAGCCGTTCCGTTTGCAAATAATTACGTCGTTAGGAAAATCTCCCTTCGGAATAGCCTTTCGTTTAAAAATGATTATCGGCTTTAGCTTGTCACCGTTTGCGGCACAAGTTAACACATATGTAAATGACGTTCTTTCATGCCCCGCATAAACACAGATACAGTTTTTGCACCAGTTTCATCAACAGTTCTGTTTGCAGGAGAGTAGAAAGCTAACAGCGTTTCATCCATATTTATTATCTGTGACCGAAGAAGTTTTTTTTGTCGATAATAGCTGTCACATATTTTAGAAAAGATGACTTTTTATCCTGCCGTTCCATTGGTAATTGTTACCCGACTGTTGTTCTAGTACGCACAGAAATATTTTCTTTTCAGAAATCGCTACACCTCCTTTAAATCATTTATGTTCATTCTTGTTGCTATAAATTTTGCTTGTAAGCGAATTTTACATTTGAAATTGCCATTCCCGTTCCTCGTTGCTCCTTTATCCAGTTTGCAAGGTCGTCCTCTAGATTTGGCCACCTTACAGTACTTCTTTTGGCTCGTTTTGTTGTGGCATATTTTAAAGAAGTTATTTTTCAGTTCTCCAATGTCGAATAAATCTGTCGTCCACTTCAAACTCGCGAGCTGCTGCTCGATTTCCAATTGTTCGCACATGAAATTACATTAAGTTTAAAACCAGCAGTATAGCTTCTATGGCATTTAGATGCCATTTTCAAAAATTTTCCGCTCTCTTCTTACTTAAAAACTATCCAACAACGTACTTGTAAACAAACTGATGGGATCTGTATCTGGCAGAATTGCCAAGAAAAATCCGATTCATGCTGAAGGGGGAAAATATGTCAGAGTTCGTTATTGTGAGGCAGGTGGAGTTCGTGTCTGCCTTTGAAAAAAATTGCAGAAAAGGCCAGGGGTGGGAAGAGGATGGGTCCTGGCAAGATTCATCGAATGGCAGAGGAGAGAGACTGTTCAAACTGATGAGAATGCTGATTTGAAAGGGGGAAGAATTTTATTGTTCTGAGATCTCGTTTAGCATGAATAAGGCATGTAGGTCCGTTCAAGGGAAAGAATGTAAACAAAATAATGTTCGCAAAAAGCAACTGAGTGGTCTTTCGTGTGGGAACAGCACCAGTCTATGCACAATGACAAGGCCATCCAAACTATGTACAATGACCATCAGAGGAAATGTTTTATTTTTAGTGCACCTAAACGCCGCGGCGTTTCTTCCGGAAGTTACGGTAATTTTGTTTGCTTTGAAAGCAGAAAACGCAAGGTCAGTGTGTGTGGTGAAAATCTTTCCTTTCTTTCTCCAAAGGCAGTGATAATGCGTGAAAAGGGGGGGGAACTTCTTTTTTGTTCTTTCCTTATTGCGAGTTATGACTCATTTCCCCGGCTCTCGGACATTCTCTTCTGGATTCTTTTCGGCAAGTAGGCGGAGTAGGAAAAAAAGGGAGAGACTTCGTTCGACCAGATGTGCGATCACGTGACTCTGGGTTCAAAGGTCTTATCTCTCCTGGCTTGACGCCAATAAGTAGAGAAGGGGGATTTTTCGCCGTATTAGCTATTTGTCATTGATCGCTTCTCAACTTTTTTTTCTCCGCTGTGTAAAATTTTCGTTTCATTTATTGATGCACGTGTAAATTTTTCGTTTCGTTTATTGAAATATTTTTTTATTTATGTACGCAAGAGAATTTCACTATGAAATTTCTCGATATAAATAGTGATATTATACAATTAGAAGAAAGTGTCTGGAATGCATTTAGGTGGAATTGGATTGAATGGAGAGATGGTAATGGAGATACCGTCGGCACATGGTGCAAGAAAATAATGTTGCTGGACAAGCATATTGTGTTTTTTGTAACTCACTGCTGAAGTATGGTGGGGAAGGATTCAAGGCTTTCACAAATCATTCTAAATCTGTGACGCACATAAAATATTCAAAGTGCATTAGACATTCAATGACTTTAAGTAATTATGCTAATTCAAAAAATACTTACTGGAGACTGATGCTCGGCCATTGGATATAGTGACAAGAAAAGCACGCCAAAAGGTATTAATAACTTCGTTTATCGCCGAGAATTCTCTTTCTTTCAATGTAGCTCCCAATTTAATTGAACTCTGCAAACAGTTGAGCCGTGATCAGACAGCACTAAACTCGTTGGAAATGTCCAGGACTACTGCATGCTATAAGATGAAATATGGGCTCGCAAAAACTATTAAGAAAAATATCATTAAAACTTTAAAGGAGACTCCATTTTCTCTAAATTTGGATGAAAGTACTAGCAATGCTCAAGAAAGTATACTGGCAATATTGGTGCAGTTTTATGATAACAATCAAAATGAAGTTGTAGTTCATCGTTTTGCGTCTCTAAAGATGGAATCTTGCAATTCAGAAGCTGTTTTTAAAGCAGTTGTTAATACTATTGAAGATAATAATATTCCATGGGCAAACTTAATTAGTGTATTAATGGACTCATGTAACACCATGCGTGGAAAAAAAAAGGGGTGTTAAAACCAGACTACGATCAAACAAAGCACCTCACTTATTAGATATTTGATGGTGACACATGTCACACAGCTAATAACTGTGCAAAAAAATTTGCTTCATGTTTTGATAGATACTTTTGAAGATTTGTTTGATGACATCAATTTTGATATGAAAAGCTGCAGTAAAAGAGAAAATTTTTTCAAAATCTGTGAATCCCTTGCCATTAAAAAACTTAAGCCCTTGAAGAGACTAG